AAAATCCACAGAACTCAAAAGGCTTCATTCCAAAAATAGCATGTCAAGATGAGTTAGAGTAATATCCCTTTAAATGTAACATCTGTTCACCTCATGAACGTCAGGGTACAGTTCAGAATGATAAATGCACAGATGCAGTGTTTTTATAAAGTCAGAATCCGTCTAATGTATGTACAATGTGATGTGTTCAACCTGGTCTTTGCTGCCTGGGTTAGGCAAAAAATGCCCTAAGGAATTACGAAAGGTTTTGGCTTTATAATTCCCAATGAAGTGCATTTGTGAGACTGAAAATGATTCCGGTGTCCTCATCGTTGCTGTTGGTGGCACTGTTGTTATCCATGTCCCCACTAACCCACAGTGGCTTTAAAAGCCAATCTTTGTGTTTTCACATGGTAATCAAGGCCTCCCATTGTGTGGATTAGAAGACAGAGGAGGAATAATAAACAGGGAGTGGATTAAAGAAAAAAAAATCTTTTCCCCATGGAAAGAAAGTTATACTACAGAAGTTCACTGTTGATCCGACACCAAACATAAATCAGTAACTGCTTCTGCAACCGTCATCAAATTGGTGTTTATTACTCACAAACGTCACCCCTGCCTGATTGACAGAAAATGAATTGCTGCAAAAAAATGCATGTGTTTTTACAAGCGGACATTACCATGGCAAGAGGGTGGCAATCGATAAAAATTGCAGCAGTTCGAATCAATAGCATCTTCCCTAAGTCACACTCTCCAATCGGTGGTGCTTGATTCGGTCAGCGAGGCAGGGGTTACACTTCTTCTGGTCATAGACAAACCATAATTCTTGCCTCCCTGCTGCTTTTACAATTACACCGGCTGTATTAAAGCAATTTTTCATTCAAAAGTCCCAAGGCTGAAAGTAAACAAATAGGCTGAGCACAGAATTGGTGGACCTGGGCCTGTTCACGACTCCCTTACACAGTCATACTCACATTACAGATCCAATCAGGTCCTCGTTTCCACGAGGGAACCAACCCACCAGGAAATTACAACCAAAGCAAGTCAATAATTATCTAACAGATGTATACTACATGTGAGATTGTTGAAGACAAGTGGCAGAGTAGAACCTAAACTATGCATTTACCCGCCACAACGCTGGTGTTGTTATCACCTTGTGAGTGTGTGTGTGTGTGTGATCATGGCACACACACACACACACGTCAGGTGTGCCGTGGATGTGCCGTGGGAAAATGTCCAATTTCACTTAATCGGTCCAAAAAAATATTATTTAGTTGCTGCAAATAGTTTGCCATTGTTGAGCGTCTGAGCTGCAATATAGTGGCTGGCTAAGTAATAAATACTCTTCCTACTGGCAGTAGGTAGCGCAATAATGACCTTGTTAATTTAAGTATATTAAATGATGCACAGGAGAGGTTGTGGTGACAAGACAAACAGCGATGGAGAAATATTTGAAAAGGAAAAATGCAGACTCTGAACTGGGCCCTGGACAAAGTTCTAACCCAGAGGAAAAGCCTAGTATGAGTGGTGGTCAAAAGAAAGAAAAAAGGCAATACAGCGAAAGATATCTTTCGTTTGGATTTACTTTCACCGGGGATCGGTATGTATATATGCTGTATTGTGCTACAATGTGTCATTCTGTAACTTGTTTGGTTCTTGGTGTGCCGCGGGATCTTTTTAATGTAAAAAATGTACCGCGGCTCAGAAAATGTTGAAAAACACTGGTCTAGTGCACGCTGTAAGCCTTTGAATATTATGCTTCATTATTTAAGTGTATGTTAAATCAGATGCAGGTATCCTAAACCAGTGGTGGGCCGTCAGGGCCAGCAAAGCCTTCTCTGCTGGCCTAAACAGATTCACGAAGCTATAGCTATTTTATTAATTTTTCATAAATACACTATGTATTCAAATTATTTTCCCCATTATCTTATTTTCTCATTGCACAGCTACTGTCTTCCTCAGTTGCTCTGCTTCCAGTGCAGCTTGTTTTAAGTAGAGCTTTTATCCAATCAGATCTCACCTCTGTGTCTCTAGGTAAGAAGAGAGGCCCGAGGCCTGCAGACTCACAAGTGAATCCATGTGCAGTCTAAATGAATGGGGACGATATTGTTGATTGTCATCGTCTTCAACCAATCAGATTTTTAGTTTGACATGTTGGCCGTATTCTTTGACGTGTTAGAGCTGTCTAGGTGGCTTACAAGTACGTCAGCATTAACGTGCAGCTCAGCAATAACGTGCGGCGTGATTGGTCAGTGGGCAAGTGACTGTTGGGAAGCTGAAGCTAGCTAGCAGAACTTAATATTAGTAGTAAGAGTTCAAGTTGAAAGATCTAACAGCGTCGAGGAAGTATTGCATATTTAATGGCTAAGAATGCGTTTTATTTGCAACTGAGGGTCTTGCTGTTTGGAGCTACGCTAACCTGAGGTGGCTAACCAAGGCAACAACACAACACCATAGCACGGCAGGACACTTACAAGCTACGATGCTTTTGAAAACCTTTGGAGAGACCCGAGTGGATCTACAATTCAACGAACACGTTCGCAGGAGGACCTCTGGCTGGAACTGAACCGCACCGATGTTCTGTACAACCGCGGTACTAAACTCTTTGTTAACAAAGAAAGGAGGATGGACTTTGTCTTTAAGTGAACAGCAGCTTTGGTAAGTGAAGTGCTTTTGTGTTTTTACATCTGCAGTAGCGTTACCACTGTGTTAATTTGTCTATGGTGTTGTTTTTATGATATGGTTAATATTGTTCCCTCTGATGTGAATAATATTTGAATGGTGCTCTTCAGTGTGCGGTGGAATACGTGTTTTAGCGCCACAGAGTTGCTGGATTGATTTGTCATGCTTTGTTGTCATATAATTATATGTGACTGGTTCTTGTGAGTTTGCTCTTGTCATTGTGTTAATTACATTGATTTTGACTATATGCATTGTCCGTTAATGACACAGCATCACGTCATGCGCGTATTCATGTGTCATGTTTTTTTTACAAAGCAAGAATTATGGGGAATGGGGATTGTGTGGCGATTGCTTTAGCCCTGTTTGAATCAGTAGGGAGTAGCTGTCTAAACGCTGCGGGGAGAGTTTTAAGCGTGTGTGCGGCTGTTGGTTTTCCTGCTAAGCTCATTTAGCATAGCCTCCCAGAACACACGCGCCTCAACAGAGTAATGTTTTTCTTCCGTGGTGGGCGTGTCAGGCAGCACTATGCTGGGTAACTTGCCAGGTTGGCTCCACCGAAAGAACATTATATTTGTTCGGTTTGTAAGCCTTGTACCGAACGGTTTAATACGAATACGTGTATTATTACACCCCTAGAAACAAATAATAACCGTAGCTGTGGCGTCATAATGAGGTTATTAGGAGGTGATTCAACTGTAGTAGGACAGCACTGAAGGCCCAGGTATAAAATGTACAGCACTGTCATTACACTGTCCTAAACACATGACCTGGTAACAGTAAACTCTTTACCAAATAGCAATACATCATCATTAACAGAGACAGATTAACACCAGATAACAGTAACACCACAACAAGCACATGGGATTCACTGGCAAGCAAATGGGTCACAAACACACATGGGGTTATAGTAAAAAAGTGTGGGCAGGGCTCAAGACTAACAGCGTCCCAATAGAAAATGTGTTTGGGTCAAACAGAGATCTTACCCGGAATGCCTCAGAGAGGAAAGGAATTAAAGAATGTATGTATGTGTGTAGGTGTGTATGTATGTGTGTATATGTGTGTGTATGTGTGTATGTGTGTGTATGTATATATGTGTGTATATGTATGTGTGTGTCTATATGTGTATATGTATGTGTGTGTCTATATGTATATATGTATGTGTGTATAAGTATGTATGTGTGTGTGTATGTATGTGTATATATGTGTGTGTGTATGTATGTATGTGTATATGTATGTATGTGTATGTATGTGTGTGTGTGTATGTATGTATGTATGTATGTATGTGTGTATATGTATATGTATGTGTGTATGTATATGTGTGTATGTATGTGTATGTGTGTATGTATGTATGTACTGTGGCTAAGTGGAGAGCAGGGCCGTCCTTGAATCAGAGGATCGATGGTTCGATCCCCAGCTCTGCTAGTCGCGTGACGCTGTGTCCTTGAGCAAGACTCTTCTTCTACGGTGTAGAAATGTGATAGAATCTGAATTGTAAGTTGCTTTGGATAAAAGCGTCTGCTAAATGACTGTAATGTAGTGTATGTATGTGTATATGTAATTGCAGAATGTCTGTAAATTATGTATGTATTTACAGTATGTATATTCTTCTCATGTCGGTAGGAGAAAAGCTAGTGCTGGGCTGGTGTGTTTGGCTAATGGCGCTAACACTCAGAAGCTTCAGTATCACAGTCAACACGAAGCGTTACACAGTAAAGTGCAGTTTAATGTGACAACACAACAGATTGACAGTAATTAAATGTACTGAAGTATTTCAGCTGAGTACAGTACAATAAAGTAGTTTGAGTTTAAAACCAATCCTGTTAATCATATATCTTTTAGTGGGACTGTTTTTTTAATAGGGTTAGCAATGATAATATGTCCTAATGATTGGGCCAATTTTGACCAAATCAAATCAATTTGATTTAAACTTTTCAGCTGAAACCTAGAAGCTTTGGCTATAAAGCAAAATGCATGTTTTTACTATAACACTAAAAATGGACAACTAGATGATAATAACAAAGGAAGGAAACAACATTTTGGTACAGGACGGTTTGCATTCACTTCGGGACAGCTAAAGAAAACCTTTGTGACATTGGTGAAGAATGTTAGTCTGGAGCCCTGTGTGGGGGTATGAGGGGAGGGCAGCTATCTACAAGAGAAGGAAAGACTGCTTCTTCAGGCGATGGACTGAAGACAACACCAAAACAAAATCCATGCAGAACCGAGGGTACATCAATCATCTGGATACAAGGACCCAGAAATAAGGAAATTGCACCAAAACATATAGAGGATTGAGATTCCCCAGAGGTCAAATAAAAATGAAATAAAATAAAACTTGCCATGTAGTTTGCTGTGGTCACACCGGGGTATGCAAGATCAAAACGGGTAACCAGTGCAGGCTGCAGGTAAGAAAATGACAAGACAAGATCACTAGCCAGTATACTTGGGTAAAGAGAGAGAGAGACGGGCATTAGTAATTGTTACCCTGTTACATGTTGAGTGGGAGGAGGAGGGAAACATGTTCAAAGGGGTTAAGATTGGATGAGGATGATGAGAGGGAGTGGCTGCCTGTATTATCTCTGTCAATGAGGAAGAGCCCCTTACCCAGCGACAGACTGGCTGCACATGTGCAAAATCTAATTCACTGATGTTCCCTACTGCACCAATGACTCAAACTGATTAAAGAACAAATAAGTATTAGAAAACAGAACAGTGTGTTGCTCAATAAACATATACCAACATCGACTACCAACTGCCAACAACACTTTGCACCATACCTATATATAGCATTTGATTTGGTTGTTTGAGCCATTTCACTGCTGTGTGTTACATTTACATGATGACTCTTTAACTTTGGAGGTATTTTACAATGTATGTAAATGGGTCAGATGTCAACAGATATCACTTCATGACACAACACAGGCAGAGGGTGTAATCAGAGCTAAAGCACTCAGACCTCCAGACAGTAGATGGTGACAGAGTATAACATTGAGGATTATAAAATCTGGTTTCACATTCAGACAAAAGCATTAACATCATCATTTAGCAACAACACTACGAGAGAAGTGCTGTGTTCAATCACATGTGATCCTATTGAGTTCCTGCTGTAATGCTGCTGGCTATTCAAGGCGTCTTCACAAAATCAAAGTCAAGCCCAAGCGTCCCTTCAAATGCATTCAAACCAACATCATTTAATACACAATGATTTCAATTATGATCACTTCTAATAACCATTTGGAGCCCATTTAAAAAAAACTGTGGTCGCAGATGAAATTTTGAAGGGCCAGTGTGTAACACTTCTGGGGATATATTAGCAGAAATGGAATATCATTTTCATTACTATGTTTTCATTAGTGGATAATCACCGGAAACTAAGAATAGTTGTGTTTTTGGAGAATGAGCCCTTCATGTCTACATAGGGAGCTGGTCCTCTTCACGCAGTCCGCCATGTTGCACCACCGTGTTTCTACAGTAGGCCAGTAGGCCTCTGAGCAAGGCAAAAGTTGTTCACGGCTCACGTTACCGTAGTCTTGGAAAGGGAGGAGTGAGTGGGGGGGATTATCAGTTGGTTGTAAAATGCAAACAACTAAATTCCACCAAATCCTACAATCGGTACGTCAAAGGAAAATTGAATCAAAGGAACAATGAAATCTGAACTAAAGACGTTAAAGAACTGTAAAGGTAACGGTACTGTAATACTGTTACCACTTACTGTAGTTAGACTTCCCTTAATAACAATATATGCTTTGAACACTAACATTAGGAAGAATTATTCTGCTACATATGTGCCACAACATATCAGATTATTTCTAATGGTATATAAATTCATGGCCATGTCTCTTCTGACTGTTGTTAATGGTATTTATTTGGGACTGACTTTTTTTGAAACCCTCAGTAAATGTCCTATTAACTAATATAAAACTGCACAGGCATGTATATGTATATATACTGTATATACGTATATATATATACGTATATACAGTATATATACATATATATATATATATACGTATATGTATGTATATATATATATACATACATACATACATACATATACATATATGTATATGTATATATACACATATATACATACATATATATACACATACATATATATACACATACATACATACATACACATATATACAGTATATACAGTATATGCAGGAAATTTATCCCCCGTTCACTGAAACAACAAATGGTTTGCCAAGGATGTCAAACACTACCTGAAATTAACTTCTCTTCATTTGCAACATTGCCCTCTGCTGGCTCAAAGCTCAATAGAAACACAACCACTTCACAACAAAGTCCATCTGCCAGCTGAACCGCTGTCTCATCTTTAACGTCGCTCTCTTATTGACCTTGTACTATGTGCATGAGACGTGTGTTTTTTCCTTCAACTTTGGACTTTACATGGAGGTGAGCTCCTTTTTGGGCTGAGAGGAACTGAGATGTTAGAGGCTGGACTCCAGGTCAGGATGCACCGGATCTTCATGAATCAAGATAATGCAGAGGGGAAATGTGTGCAAAGAATGGTGAAGGCAGAGAGAAGGAGGCATGTGGAGACAGTATTTAATCATTTATCTTCCAACGAAGATAAAAACTACAACAAAAACTATGATTTGTGCTTCTGTGGAACAGAAAAGCACATCAAAATAGGGAAGTAAAAAGTAGGAGGAAAACCTTCATCCAAAAAGTAGACTCTTCAAATTGTTCCATACATCTGATAATCAAAACGGACACAGTAATTCTATATAAAATGAACTATGAACAGCACTGAGCAGTCTGTGGTCATATTAAAGCTAAAGAGACAAAACGGAGGAGGGAGAGAGACTAAGATAAGGCCATGTTGGCAGTCGGTCATGGTGCTGAATTGTAATGAAGGCCGGAGGGTCATGGTTTCTATGCCAGGTGCAAAAGCTCAGACTTGGAATGGAGGAAGAGAGGGTGTGGTGCTAACCTTGAGAGGAGAGATGTGGGAATGGGACACGTAGCCGTGCACATTCTCGATCTCAGACAGGTTCTTCTCGGACACGTGCACAAGCTCAGGGGCCTGCACCTCGTTGGTGAGCCGCGGGAATCCCTGGTCAAGAGGCGGAGAGTCGTCTTGTTGGTAGTGGTACTGCTGAGAGCGGAATGAGAGAAAGAGAAAAGGGGGGACATGGAGAGACAAAGAGAGAGGACACCGACAAGTGATGAGACCCAAAAACAAAAGTAAGGGCTTTGTGTTTCTGTTCTCAGAAATGACAAGAGAAAAGGCAAAGAACCATTCATCTTGATGAAGTTTGTACATTAAACTGACAAATTCATGATCATTTTCAAGGTTTCCTTTTCTTGGTGTGATTATTGTACAATGCTTAAATATTCTAAATAATGAAAAGAATGATGTTTAAATGTATATGTTTTTTTGGACATCAACATGGCTAAGCTATTAGGCACCCAGAGTAGCACAAGAGATTCACAATACAGTCATGAGGTATTAATTAAAATTGCATTTGTTGCATACCATTATTTATGAATATGAAATATTCATTACATATGGGGAGTGTCTCAGATTTAGAATATACTGTACATTTATCTCACTAGGTTATTTTAAAAAATATAATAAAAAAATGTGTTTTCTACAATACAAGGAATTTCAAACTTCTACTAATCTTTATGTTCTTTATGAGAAACTAGATTTGGTTTAAAATCACTTACTCACTTCAAGCAGGCATTTTTGTTTCTGATCTTATACAACAACCTAATACAACAACACCATAAAAGGCGGCTTCAAAAGGATCATGTGGTTATATAGCAGTCGGACACAGTGTCAGCTAAACCTTACTAACTCTTACACCATAAGCTTTACAAAGGTATGCTCACTGCAATTCATCACACGTTGGGAAACATACTTTCATAGACAAGCAGTACATGTAAAGAAATGTTGATAGTATGTTGTGGGATTCTTTTTATGAAAATCATTTTTTTCCTCACACCAGTGTACTGTCCCCTGCCCCCTTGGTGTGGGTGTTTAAAGGGACATTTCTGACCTATCCCAACTAATCCATCTAGAAACTGAAATTAGATTTTTGTTATATTTTCTTTGATTTACACTGAAGTTTGATGATACCCAACTTTAGCAACAATAACAGATTCATATGACACAAAATGTATCCGTGGTTAACATGTAAAGACATTGTTGAGAGTCAACAATAGCTCTGAAGTGCGACACAAGATGCCGTGAATTAGAAGTCACATTTCACATCAGAGGGCATCAACATGATGAAATCTAATTTGAACAACATGAGTGGTGAAAACTGAGAGATGAATCATGACTCATCACATATCATGTCAGCAGAGTAAATACTGTGGTTGATCGCCAGAATGATACTGTGTGGGTTTGGATGCGGTGAAAAATACTACTCCCCTCCTCCCCTCTCTCACCCAAGGAGCGTTCATCAAGGCAGGATTCATGCAGGGTGGGGGCTGGCCGTTGTGGGGTGACCCCTGTACTGCTGGTGGCCTGTTCTGGAGAAAGCAACAGGACCATGTAACCACTTTCTGGCCGAGAAATGAAGTGCAGAAACAATCAGTCCCACGTCCAAGATTCCAAGCATTCAACCAGTTCACCCATTCAGGAGCAAAATGGCAGCAGGAGGCTGAGAAGCTCAGAGGTACTGGCATATACATTACAGTACTGTGGGTGTCAGCATTCTGTACAAACACAATAGATGTCAGCTTTGGTAAGTGAAGTGCTTTTGTGTTTTTACATCTGCAGTAGGGTTACCACTGTGTTAATTTGTCTATGGTGTTGTTTTTATGATATGGTTAATATTGTTCCATCTGATGTGGATAATATTTGAATGGTGCTCTTCAGTGTGCGGTGGAATACGTGTTTTAGCGCCACAGAGTTGCTGGATTGATTTGTCATGTGTCTATATGTATATATGTATGTGTGTATATGTATGTATGTGTGTGTGTATGTATGTGTATATATGTGTGTGTGTATGTATGCATGTGTATATCTATGTATGTGTGTATGTATGTGTGTGTGTGTATGTATGTGTATATATGTGTGTGTGTATGTATGCATGTGTATATCTATGTATGTGTGTACGTATGTGTGTGTGTGTGTATGTATGTATGTATGTATGTATGTATGTATGTGTGTATATGTATATGTGTATGTATGTGTGTATGTATATGTGTGTATGTATGTGTACATACACATTTTTGCGAACTCCTCCTACACGCTGGGTCCGATTACTACCCAATTTGTTATGGATCGTTATTGGATCTAGATCATCAAAAGTTATCAAAAACTTTTTGATTTTAGCTTTTAGCTCTTAGCGTGTACAAGATATGGACCAATAAACTTCCTAGGGGCGTGGCTTAATATCAATAAACATAACTTCTCAACCATTTGTCCTAAAATTACAAAATTTGCAGCATATGTGCACATCGCATGCTGTAATATACCCTGAGAATTGTTTTGCATTCAACCACTAGGGGGCGCTACAGTAAACCCACGAAGTTGTACTTTTTGTCACTTTTTGCAGATTTCAGACTTCGTATTTTAACGAACTCCTCCTAGAGAATTTATGCGATCAACTTCTCCTTTGGTCAGGATGCTCTTAAGACCTTTGTGATTAAAAGTTATCAAAATCGTGCGCTTTCATTGAAGAACCTTGACGTGGCGGCCATTTTGCCTCATTGTTTATGAAAAAAGAAGTTGTTATAACTCCAAGGTACATTATCCAATCCGCACAAAACTTCTCATGCATGATGCTACTTCAAGTCTGAACATACTTCAATTGAAAAAAACCTCAATAACTCATAGCGCCGCCTACTGGCTAAAGGAAATGTCATATTTTATACTTTGATTTATTCCTCCTAGCCAGGTGACCTGATGAGTCTCAAATTTGGTAAGGATAGCCTTAAGACATTGATGATAAATCGCCAAGAATATTGTGCGTTTTCGTTGAACGCTGTTGCCGTGGCGACGCATTGTTTGCCATGAAAAAGGAAGCTGATGGTTTCGTGGGTTAAGATGCTCAAAAACTCATGGAACTTTGTACATGTGTCATAGGTCATAGGAAGACATAGTGTATATGGATTTTTGGCTTGGCCGTTTTAAATTGCCTCTATAGCGCCCCCTACAATATTTCAAAAGAGCAGCCCCAGCGCTATGTTTCAGCTACATGTATCCTATGGAGACTTAAAAATAAGTCTCTTGGGACCATGCTCTAAACCCTACCGGAAGTCGGCCATTTTGATATTTGTGTCATTTTTCGATAGATTTTGGTCTATTTCTAGTAGCTATACTTCAACGAACTCCTCCTAGGGAATATGTCTACAGGGAGCATCGGACTATTTGCAAAGCATCATTTCCAGCATCAGGCGGTCCACGCGGGATTAAAAACGTCTCGCTCGCAGACGTTCTCGGACGTGCAGGCCAGAGTCCCGCCGGCACCCCCAACGCGCTGCAGATTGCGAGGGCCCGTTCATCGCTGCTCGCAGCTTCAATTTGGGGGGCTATTAGGACACAGGTAGCAGTTTTATTCAAGACACTGAATCAGATTTTCAATGCACTTTAATTGAGGCTTTCCAACAGGAGTAATCAGTGGATGGCAGGAGGCAGAGTGTTGCAAGATGTTAGAGTCGTGACAATGCAATCGTGTATTGGATGCAGCAGGAAAGATGGGCTGTTCTTTTAGAAATGAATCCATCTCTGTTAAGAGTTCCTGCAGAAACACCTGCTACCAAGAAGAAAATAAAACTTAGAATCGTAGCTTGTATAAGCCATGTATATCTACATAGGGAGCAGGTCGTCTTCCACGGAGTCCGCCATCGTGCACCGCCATGTTTCTACAGCAGCTCAGAATGGACACTGTGGACGCCATTCGTGTTTTACAGTAGCTCAAGGTAGGGATGCTACTGCTGGATGTCTGTGTTCTTCATTCTTTATGAACTTCCACCAGAAATGTTAATTATTTTCGAGTGGGATATTAATGACTTTATACAGTGACATTGCCATTGTAAACATTACTGTCCAGATAAAGTCTAATTTCAGTTTCACTTCACTCCTTCTGACCATTAATTCAGTCCCTCTCTCTCTTGCCCACACACGTGCACTTTGTGTTTTTATCCTTCTGTATGTCTCTGAATCTCTTATACACAAGAAAAAAAGAAATAAGCTTACTCTTGAAATGTAATTTTCTTTAACATGTTTTAAATCTTGACTGGATACATTGCATCAGACAAAGGACTTGTCTCTGTTCATGTCTTGTTAGACCTTAGTGCTGCGTTCGACACCATTGATCATTACATCCTGCTGCAGAGACTTGAACATTATATTGGCATCAAAGGAAACGCACTAAACTGGTTTAAATCCTATTTCTCTGATCGATCTCAGTTTGTAAATGTAAACGATGAAACCTCGATGAAGACCAATGTCATGGTGTTCCACAAGGTTCTGTGCTTGGACCAATCTTGTTCACCTTATATATGCTTCCTTTAGGCAATATTATCAGAAAACACTCTATAAACTTTCATTGTTATGCAGATGATACTCAATTATATCTATCGATCAAACCAGATGAAACCAACCAGCTCACTAAACTGCAAGCATGTCTTAAGGACATAAAAACCTGGATGAGCTGCAACTTCCTGATGTTACACTCAGACAAAACTGAAGTTATTCTACTAGGCCCAGAACAGCTCCGACATCAGTTATCTGATGATATAGTTTCTCTAGATGGCATTGCGCTGGCATCCAGCATTACCTTTGACCAGGATTTGTCTTTTAACTCCCAGATAAGGCAGCAGAAAAAGGGAAATATGGTCTGACTGTTGTGATAGAAATTGTTAGTGTGCTAGTACATTTCTACTGTGAAATCACAGGAGAAATGTACTAGCACACTAAAATTGTATGTGCCTTACTCACTAACAAAACTATAAATGTGACATATGAGGAGGATGTCTCTGAGGAGAGTGGTAACAGGACCATATGGGTTATCTCTGCCTTTGCTTTAATAAGAGGAAGTAACCAAATGGGAGTTGCAGTTTGACCAGAGAATGTTTAGGTGTGAAGATTCCCAGGGATAATCAAAGGTAACAAAGACACATGTCTTTGTGTGACAAGGCTCAGAAGAGGAAGGGGATGACTGGAGGGGTCAATGGGGAGCTTGAAACTGCTGATCAATTGTTGTAATGTAAATACCTGATGTTCCCCCCTACTGTGTGCTGAGATGTTCAAGAGCAGGAGACAAACTGAGTGGGGGCAAGGGATGGCTATTTACCTTCTCCTTACCGGAGCCTTGCGTTATGTCGGTGTGGTATACAGTCCACCCCTCAAGTGCAATAGCCTAAGTCTTACTTCACTCATTTTATTTTCCAGTGACTAGGCATTAGCCAGAAGCAGGCCTGGTAGTGTCAGGATCCAGGATCCCTGTCTGACCCGTTGTGTGTTACCTCTGTTTCCCCTGATCTCCTCTCCTCATGTGTTCTGTCAATCCCCTGTTTGTTATTGTGTGCCATGTGCTCTGTGTTTTTCCTCTGCCTCCAGACACCTCCCATGGCCACACCCCTGATTAGTACACAGCTGCGGACACTCCAGCCGATTACCTCCCGCAGACTCACACCGTCGAGCTGCCTGCCCTCCGGTGTCGAGCCACGGGACATCACACCGTCGATCTGCCTGCCCTCCGGTGTCGGACCACGGGCTCCACACCATCCTGTCCTCTTTACTCTGGCAAATAAAATCAGTTTTACCACATTCTGTCTCCTGTGGTCTTGCTATTGGGTCCTAACCGTGAACTCCCGTGACAGGTAGTGGACTAGCCCCGGCTTAGCTTTGCTCTTATCCCGACTATTCTCCCTCCTTTTCTGGGGTGGTCACATGGCTTCCGGTGGCATTTGGGCCAGCTGGTCTAACTGGATGGTCAAAAGATTTCGTGGACAGTGATCGTCTCAAAATCTGCTGCACTTTCCAATGTTGATGAGTTATTTTTTGTCGTAAATGTAGCAACGTTTATGGGAGCTTCTGGACGCCCCATCTACATGCGCTACAGTCACTATGGTAACATGAAGCTCAGAGACCTGAGACTCAACACTGCCCTCTTTGACTGGATCCTGAACTTCCTTACGGGCAGACCCCAGGCTGTGCAGATGAGCACTACCACATCCTCCACCCCGACTCTAAACACCGGTGCCCCTCAGAGCTGCATGTTAAGTCCTCTCTTGTACCTCGTTGCTCAAACACGACTGCCTGGATACACACAACTCCATCAAAAAGTTTGCTAACGACACGGCTGTCATTGGCCTGATTACCAACAATGAGCACAACAACCTTCATCTCAATTCTAGCAAATCATAGGATCTGATGTGGACTACAGGAAACAATAAAGAGTAGGACATGCCCCATCATCCTCATCACTGAGACAACGGTAGAGAAAGTCAGCAGCTTCAGGTTCTGCGGGTTTCACTTCAGCAAGGAACTGACCTTGACTCACCACACTGACAGAATAACAAAGACAGTGAGAAAACGCTATGTTCCTTCTCCACTGGCTGAGTCCTGGAAATTTCTACAGGTTCATTATTGAAAGTATCCTGACCGGCTGCATCATTGCCTGGTGTGGCAGTTGTGCTGCCATCAACCATAAGGCTCTACAGAGAGTGGTGCACATCACCAGGACAGAGCTGCTATCGATGGAAGACCTCTATACCTAGTGGTGAGGGAAGAAGGCCATCAGGGTCATCAGAGACTCCAATCACCCCAGCCACAGATTGTTCTGCCTGCTGCCATCCAGCAGTATCCGGTCCCGCACCACCAGGCTCAGTGACAGTTTCATTTATTTTCTAATAACTGCAACCCCATTATTTTAGCTGCAGAACTATTTTCTGTTTTAGATTCTTGCTATATATTTATTCAGTCCCAAAAATCTGTTTTGATAGACCCTATGCTGTGCAGTACAAGTAAGTTATGTTAATGGTTAAAGAAAATTACCTTTTGGTCTGGATGTATGTTTGCAGGGCTTGAAATACCATGTGCATAAACAAGGTATGAAAATTTGAGCTGTGCATGTAATTCTCAGCTCTATTTGCACTAGTGTACTATAACTTGGTACATATGTTGTGCAGCGCTGCTAACGCTCCCGCATTGACTGTGAGACTCACACGGCTGAAACTTTTCTCACTCTCACGACACACATCCATCTTCTCATGCAATGAAAAATAAATGTATAACTGTTAACGTTGCAGCGCGAAAAGAAGACACCGACAGCGCACAAAGAGACAAGACAGAGCAGTACAGCACAGCAGCAGTGTGCTTTTGGTACAGTACCTGAACATATAGCAGCCAAAAAAACAAAAATAACACTTACCTTACAGTAACAATTTATTACACATCATATATCTAATAAGTCTTGTTGAATATGTGACGTCTCAATGCTGAAAATCTTCCTATAGCCATATAAAACACTCTACAGGCTCAAATTATATTGTTACACTTTAAAATTCTACTCATTCTTAAAGTCTCATGAATTAAATAAATGTTTTCCATTAAAGGTTTGCTCAAATTTCCAACGTGGTTCCAAAGTTATTTTACAAATCTGTTTTTGATCAAATTTAAAGAAAGGACACATTGATTATTTCCTCATATATGAACTGTCATAAAAAAGAAAATGTTGCAGTGGTTATTATTACATTTCTAATAGATGCACCAAATGGTGCAGTAAATCTTAAAAGCCCATTTTGTGCCCTCGAGTGGATGCCGCCAGTGTCCCAAAAGTACATGCTCAACAAAGCAGGCAGCATATGTCGAAAGCACACTTCAGTTTTTTTATTTTAATTGTTTTACTAAAATGATTTACCACCAGTACAAACCAAGAGTACATCACAGAGCAAGAGTGCATCATACTGCCTCCCCCAAGCTACTTTAGCAGTAGTTTGTTGTAGGCTACAACAGCAAAACTAAGTCATGGCACTGAGGCATGATGAGTTCCAAGTGAACGTAGTGGAGCACATAGAACGGATTTATACTTTAACAGTGAGTGACTAATGCTCCAGGTAGAGAGAGAGAGAGAGACAGAGACCAAGGGAGAGATGGAGGAGGAGGGCATCTGACCTCTGGATGAAGGCTTAAATGTGCTTGTTAAACTAAGCAGAAGCAGAGACAGGACAATAATGATATTTATCAGAGCAATGCAATGGGCTGTTTTAAACTCTGAAAGGTTTGATGAAGAATACACATTGGGGCCAGACTTCCTAACCAAATGACGCCTAGCTGCTACTTCAGGCCCCTGTGTCGACCCCTTGATTGACCAAATGCCAACTGTGTGTCCTTCCTGCGGGTCTGAATGTAAATAAACCCCTCCCTGCCCTTTGTCATAGTCCCCCCTTACCTCTGTATCCTAGTATTGACATACAGTCTAACCACTGCTCTGGCTCCCTGTATAAAATGCTTCTTTCTTCATTTGTTCGGGGTCAACCTTACGGCTCAGATCTGCTCTGTATCTGTGAGGTCACCAGTTTGCCGGCATGCTATAATAAACTCACAACACCACAGCAACTTCTGAAGTGGACTTGAATGATTTCTTCAACAGGTTCCACACAGAATTCATCCAAAGCAGCAGTTATTGTAAACTGTTTTGAAAAGGGCAGGCAAAAGATACGGGGCCGGTGATTGAATGAACCATCAGTTAATCAAACTCTCGTCACGTCTTTCTCGAGAGAAAACATGTTTTCCATCAACAAAAGCCTTCAGTGTCATCCTTTGCTCTTCTATTAATGACGAAATACTGTCCAGTTGTGATAGAACTGATGCTTTTGCAGCATCTTTACTAACCTCTTTAGGAGTCGCCATTGTTGTTTAGAACAAACACTTGTCTCTCTGTATGGTCTCACACACACCTAAGCCACTCAAACGCATTACTTGAAGCTTGGCAAGATGGATTTTGGTGTGATATGTGACGCTGCGATTCACACATGGTCTTGTGACGTTGCAAGAATCCAGCTGCGAAGTAAATCAAAAGACACAATAATGACATGGAATTCTCCTTTTTCATTTCAGCACACTGAACACTCAACACTGATTAAAAGTGTAGTCTGGAATACAGAAAAGGAAGAGAGGGTTTGAAGGAGATAATTCAATCATGTTTTGATACGCGAGTAGATTTGTATAGAAATCTATACAAATAGAAAAAAATGGTATAAAAATGTTTTCGTTAGCTCGGCAACAACACATGCATTATAAGTAATACATTAGTGTATGATGCATATAATTATTAGTAACATGTTTGTAATGTATTTTGATGTGCAGCTCGAGGAAATCTCACATTAGTCACACTTCACAGTACTCAAAGAGGAAAATGATGTTTCATTCATCATGTCAAGTTGCTAATTTTGCACTTCTTGGCAATCAACATAATTAACCAATTCCTTTTCTTGATTAAGCCTGATGAAGTCAGCACACCATAAACACTGCACACTCTCCTCCTGTAGTGCAAAGCCTCTCAACGTTGGGGTTTGTAGAATGCTGTTGCTGTGGGGCTGGTCGGGCTGAGCTGTGTGCAGAGCATCACTGCTCATGTGTGGTGCTGTCATGCTCCACTGAGAGGATCCCTTCTCTATGATGTTCACTACAGCAGAATCCAGATGAGATGGAAATGTGGGTTGGCATGGCCAAGGGCCGATTCAGAGCCTCTGTGCAGATTTAGTGTGGAATCTCCCAGCCGTTGTGTGCACTGACCTCTTTCTGTGGCTTTATATATCTACAGTTAGACTCTCTTCCCCCATTCTCTGCTACAGTCCTAATTCCTACGGACAGCAGGAGGGAGAGCTGAGCTGTGAGAAAAAGAAAAGCACCTGCCCTCTGTTTTTCTCTCTTTTATAGTCAAACACACACGTGTTGTCATCTAATGTTTGTTTTTAGCTTCAGTGTGTCAAACTCTTTTCAGGTGAGCAATGGATTTTGTACTCACCGACTGTCTGGCTGTTTTTACAGTGACTGTTATTCATGGGATTACATGGAATAATTCTATAGTCTGGGAATTAGATTTACTGTAGTTGATGCCTTTTGATTCTTGATAAGTTTTCATCTCGGTATGTGTTCTAAATCATATTATCAGGCACTGTACAAGAGAGATTTCGCGTATGTAAATTCTATAAAAGCCTGTACGTGATGATAAGGGCTGGAAGAGGAAATGTAATCTCAGTGGCATCAGAGCAATATTCAACTCCAATGACATGAAAACAGATCTCAGAACAGTTAAAGAAGGAAACAGTGATCACAACAAGAAATATATTAACACCTACTTTTAAACTGACTGATGTAGACAAACGCGTTCATTCATTTCAAAACCAGTGGATGTAAGTAGAGGGGAAAGCACTTCACCAGGGACAGAAAAGATGGGGAGAGACAACAGACCTCAGTGGACAGCTTGACTGTCTAAGCTGTATCACAGTCAGGAGAATCAGCGCACATATTTGAAGTGATTACGAGGAAGATTTGAATAATTGTCACGTCCGTGAAGCTGTACTGAGAAACCACAGTTAGAAAAACCTAAGAGCTGAGAGTGATCCACAGTAAGAGCCATGAATAACTCACTGAAGCTAAATTACTTCTGTTTCCCAATAATTCTGTTGACTGCACTGTTCCCCTGCCACATACTAACCCGCCTGTCACTTCAGAGGCAGCCACTCCCTCCTGCCCTGCAGTGACCCCTTTCCTGCCACATTACCTGACCTCCGCGCTCCCCCACTGCTTCCCTTTTCCCTCATCATACCGGCCCATCACCATTCATTCCCTTCCAGATTGTCTACTTTTCTTCCACCTTCGCCTTTTACTGCCTGAGTCTTGGATTGATGATCCTGAGCCCCGCCCCTTCTCAGATATGTTTGCCTGTTATTTGACTCCAGAAAACATGAACTTTTATCCTAACCTGTCTTTTTCAGTCTTTTCTGTTTTCTGAGATATTTCAGTGTGGCATACACATAGGAGTCATTGTACCTGCTTCTCAAAGTTTAGTAATTAAAAGAAAACTGTAAAAATGAAAAGAAAAAGGTTAAAGAAAAAAGAGTCTCTTTGTCCACATAATGCTATACTGACTACCAATCCAATAGGGATGCAGCATACTGACTGGTCCAATATGACTGGATCATGTTTTGGTGTCAATGGGCCAATCGGGTATCTGATGTCATTTGAATAAAGAACAATTCAGTACCTTTATACTTATGTATTAATGTGTGACATTTTGCATTCCAAAGTTATGACTCATACTTAAGTTTAGCCTGATGTTGCCTTACACGTAAAGAATGATCCCCGTCTCTCCGACATAGTGAGTCATACAGCTCATTTATCTGATTGGTACTCGGGTTTGATACCCAATGAAATGATAACCAATGAAATGATAATCAATGAAATGAATAAATGGAAGAAGAATCAGTGCATCCCTAAATCCAATACCAGTGCTCTTTTGTCCCCTATATGTATGTAATGTAATCCATAACGCTCACTGTGTGGAATCAATGTCATGTGAAACTATGTGTCAGTTCTTACGTTTAAACAAAACCATTGTTCATAACCTTGTGAGACTTGTATCTATGTGGTTTAGACTGTTTGTACAAATGTCATCATTGATGTGCAGCATCAGTCTCATAACAGCAGACGCACTAGCATGCTCAACTTGTCTGCCACTCTTCCAGCGGCAGGGTTTTTGGTTTCGTATAGTGATACAGACCTGACAAAGTAAAAGAAAAGGCTTTGCTCAGCGTTATTAAATGCACCTACATCTCTTCACCAAACCACTACACCTGTGTAAATGTTCATCCTAAGTAAGAGATAATGTCAGTTCATGTTTACTGAGCTATTCTTCTCAACATGTTATGGAATGTATCTCGTCTAAAATTTTATAAAAAGTACTGAACATCAAGTTTTAAAGTAGCTACAATGTTTGGCAACATTATCTTACCACAAAATCATTATCAACACCTCTGGCTTCACAGTTAGGAAGTAGCAGTGCAGCATGCAGGCAGTAGTGTACTATCAGCAGTAGCTTAATGCACAAACAACCCCAAACCCAAACCAGCTTCCCTGAGTGAACCCTTCAACCCAGGTAAAGACCAAAATATCTGCAGTTCACATAAAACGCAAAGCAAACTTTTTGTGTGGCGCAATTACATAGTTTCAATACAAATACATGAATAGATGCGAGTTGAGTAGAAATATTTTCAAACGAGAAATTTGTGCGACGCCTTGACATTGTTCTTCTGTTGTCACTGACATCCTGAAGTTGTTGAATCAAAAGAACGATAGCAGCTGTCTGTTGGCACCCAGAGCTCTACGATAGGACCTCATCATACAGAGACCAGTCAGACCTCTGTGTGTAAACCATAGACTGTCTTTAGTAGAAACAATAATGGTGCTGCCTATTTATGACTAGATTACGCTATTGGAGTGTTGGTGTAACAGCTGCAATGTTCGCATTGTTTGCCTGTCATCTTGCAGACAGACCTGCCAAAGCATGAATTCAGACTTTTTACAAATCAACATCATTATATCGTTATTTCAGCATCCTTTTTATCTGTTTATTGCAATTAAATCACAGCAAAATCAGTTTTTATTGGTTTCATACCGTTGTAGTAAACCAGCCGACATGTTGCTAGCTAGATACAGTGAATGCAAAAATGTTGCGTTTGGAATGAACACATCCTTTGCTGGGGCGGTTCGCTAATTGCGGGCGAATGAAACAAAGCTCCTGTTAAAAATTAACAAATCTACTGATAACAGCACATTAACAGCGATGAATGAAGGGTGGTACATGGATGCAGAAATATAACAGGAGCTGTAAATATGGCCTCATTAAGCCCCAGTAAGCATTCTTCCAGCTTTGAGGGATGCAGATAGGAAAACAAAACTGGGCTAGCACTGCTTTTCAAAAAAATGTAAATAATTTCCTCACTTGACAGTTTATAGACAAACACAACCAACAGTGGACTCCTCATCCCATAGGATTCTCTTCCATCAGGTACTATAGCAAACAATAATACAGAGAGCAGCACAGGATAATACTCAGAAGTCTAACAGAAAAATCTCTAGTACAGTACTACTTCAAATGAGCAACTGTCAACATCCTAGTGTTCCTCTGAAGCAAACAGAGTGGTCTGCAACCTACCTTGCATCCAAACATCAACGACAAAGTGTTGTTGGTGCAGGCAACTTTGCAGTGGCACAGCACCGGGGTGCACTCTGGGCTTTTGACTATGGGAGACATTCCTGTAGAAACGAGCCGTTGGACGGACTCTGCAGTAGCACAGCGCTTAAAGGCAGAAAGACGAAGAGCCACAGTCGGACCGAACTAGAAAGCTAGAAAGAAGGTTTGCGCTTTATGAGAGCGAGGTTTTGCATACAGGCTTATGCTCTCTCACACTCTGTCCCCACCATACACTCCCTCCCTCTCTCTCTCTCTCTGTCAGGAATGCCCACTGTCTCTATCCCTCTCCTCCTAACCATCCTCCTCCTCATGTTAGCTTTTTCTGTGGAAGGAATTCATTACCTGAATAATCTGCTATATCACTTGTCCTTAACTAGCGTGAATTTGCATTTAGAAAAAAAAAAAAAGGTCACTCTTTTTGTTTTATATTCATATACTGAGTATGTAGCTGCTGTGTACATGTAGCAGCAGGTCAACCAAGCGCTTCCCCTCAGTCTTGATGTAGGGCGCCCCCAGCTGGCCAACATTACAGATTAAAACTGCAAACAGCTACTTTTGTGTCAAGTTTCCCATGAGTATTAATATGTATTTATCATGTTTTGTTTCAAAAGCCTGTGTTGGAATGCAGCTTTGTAAAGTCAAAATGTATTGCCTGCCAGAATGATGCATTCATGCGCAATTATATTAATGTGAATACACCAACTATAAATACTAAAATAAGCATAACAAAAACACTTTCAAATGATACAACACTTTAGCAAATGTCCTTAACTATGGTTGGAGCACCTACCACTGGTCCCTTTATGGGGTTCAAAATCTTGCTCAGTCCTTTTCTTTTCCTCGTCATACTGTAATCACTTGATATTAGTAATGTGGCCACAGACCCTGTTAAATACCTGCTTCTCCTTCACTCAAATGTTTCTGCAGTTAAACACGGAATGTTTTACAGACCATCTGAGTGACCTGATGATGCTCCTGGTTGATGAGGTCATCCTGGACCCACCAGACTCTCCCAGTATGAGACTTCCTCAGAGGAGCAGGTGTCATGCTTCAGTCAGCCGATTTATATTTCCATTCCATTGGCCATAAACAAAGTGACTTACTTATCATTCTTTTTTTTCTTTTACAATTTTGATGTGATTATACTGTTTGAACAGGTGATATGAAACACATATTTGATTTTATGTCGAAGGGTTAAAAAAAACTGGTCCATTTAATATCCTGACTATTAAAATGTGAGAAAGCTTTACTAGTAATCCTTTACTTCAGCCAGTACATTTTCAGATTTCTCAGATTCCCGCTCAAACAAGCAGCTGTGAAGTTATGTTTGAACAATTAGCGTGTTATATCCACGATAGAAGACCGGAAACACAGACCAATCACAGCAGACTGGGAGAATAATGTGTTGTGAACAGTAAAGCATGTAATCATGAGGTGTGAGATGAGGGAAAGGGAGAGAATGATATATCATATAATATATAATTATCCTCATACTGCAGCTGTTTCATTTATACACTGTCTGTCAAAACATGATAATAATAGTAAGATGATAATATGATAAGTGGTGGCAGGCCACAGGTCATGTAGAGAATATAGTGCTTAGCTGACGGAATGAACCCTTTGATAAGAACTTCATGTAGAGGTGGGCTCATAGTAAATGTTCAGTATTTATGCACTGGGCTGAGTTGTAGAGGATCAACAGCTTCACTGACAGCCTGCATGTTAATACACAAACAGAAAACACTGGCCTGATGCTTAACAAGGACTATAATTACCTGGGACTGCTATAACCTGAGGTGGTTTTGATTAGCCATTTACTGAGTAAAAGATGTTGGAATCTTACTAACTAACTAGAGCATGCAGTCCAAATATAGGATTAACGATCAGATGCTCTGGTTGTATTTTGATCAATCTATAATAAAACATATTCTGTTGGAATGTAGCTAAAGGATGTCATTTGAGAATGAGTCAGCCATGCAGTGCTCGTTTCTGCAACATTGTTCTTTCAAAATAAACTGTCTTGCATAGTCTCTACATGTAGGATATCCATATTACAACTAATTCCAATTACAGTCAGTTTCTTCCAAACAGTTACAACCTTTTATTCATTAGTAATAATCGTGATCAACAAATCCACCCCCTCATCGGCACAAATCACAGTCAAAGTGTGTCTGACAGACCAACAACACATTCTCTCTCCCAACTCGTCAAACACCACTTGGACAGCTGCCCTCCACTTCAAACTATGATGCTCTACGTTCCTCTCTGGCGATCAGGGACAGCATGTCAGTTTCTGCTATTGCATATGCACATGCAAAATGTCTTTTCAAAATAAACTTCCATGTTAACAGTAAATATACAGTTTCTGCCCGTTACGTGCATAAGGTCTGTTTTCAAAATAAACTTCATACTTACTTGGTTAGGCTAAAAAAAAGATCTTGCTTTCGGTTTAAATAACTACGTTTGTTACGTTAAATAAGTACGCTTGTTACGCAACCGACGTATGCATTCGTTACGTAACAAAAATAGAGGTAAAATAAATCAGTGTTGACTTGGTCTGGGGACATGAACATGGTCTTCTGGGTGGAAGCTCTCTTTTTTTGACCCAACCTCCTCCTTAAATGGACTTCCATGCTCTGTGTACTACATAATTCGCCCTGAGCGTCTAGTAATGATGCGGATGGGTTGGAGTTGACTCTGTCTGGTGGTATCAGACATCGAGGGCCAGTGACCAAGCGTCGGTATTTGACAAGCTGGAAGTGAGACCGGGTTAACACTGCACATGCGTCTTAGGTCAGGCAGATGAGAGTGAAGTGCTGATGTGTTCATACCAGCAGGAAACTATAAAACCACAGTAGGTTAATATCTTCTTACAAGTTACAAGCTGCTGGGTCTAAAAACATCTGTGTCAGAATGTAATGCTACCTGGTTGTCTGCTTGGCCAACAGTGACTTTCACTATAGACATTAGTATAGTCTTCTATTCTACAGTATGTCTGCATGTGTGTGATTTAAGCATGTGGCATTCTAGGCAAATAAAAGCTGCTTTTTATTTAATTTCTGACAAATCTTTCCTGGTGGTATGTATAAATACACACACACACACATATACATATATATATATATATATACTGTATATATGTGTGTAAATAGAAATGTGTCAATGTATCGTCAAAATCTCTGGGCCTCAAGCAAACTAGTAAATATGACTGTGGAACCTCTGTGCTTCAGTACTTGCTGTGTCTGTGCTGTAGCATCTTTAAAGGAACACATCAGCCCTCGCTTCATAGCTTCAGATTTTCCCCACCCACACCTACTTCCATTTCCCCTAATCAGCCTAGTAGTATACTGTATATACTGACTCAATTCCACTTGTTCTCTGGCAGATTGTCTAGTTTGCTTCTCTCTAGTACTGTAAAGACCTACTATACATCATGCTGGCTCAATCCACAAGACAACATGTGACCCTGCTACAGCTGTCCGTATTTCAGCTTCTCTGTCTCTGACCAGACTTCTTTAGTCGTCAGCCTGCAGCAGAGCTGCAGAGGATGAGATCATCCAAAGTCCAGAGAGTAATTCATTACTTGTGTGAGGACTATCACAGTAACACAGCTGCAGTATCAGGCTCTGTATTCTGCATCCTGATTCACCAGCATACAGTGCGGTACAGTGTTAACTGAACTGAACCACTAGATGGACCCATAACACTGAGGATAACACTGTTAACATGTGGAACTAAAAACTCAATTACACTTTAATATAATTTTATATATTCTCATGAATACCTATGTTGAATACACTTATTGTAAGTGGCTTTGGATAAAAGCGTCTGCTAAATGACTGTAATGTAATGTCATGTAATATACAGTGACTGAGGCCAATGTTGTAATGGTACATTTCTACTTAAGTATATTGTGTAAATGCTTAAGTACTTGTACTTTTGCTCTGAACTCAGTAGATCTTCATCCTTGTTTTAACATACGTGCTCAAATGTATCTTGTGTGTAATAGAAACTTGACATTCTTATGAGTATTTTATATTCTTATAAGTAGAACTGTTTTATAAACTTGTTGTGAAACAGTCTATCATAAGCTTGCATCATGAGACTTGTGATCCATGGAGCAGCTGACTGTCCATGTACCCATATGCACCCATATCCTCTTGTTCTCTGTGTTGGATAACAAGTACCTATTGTATATTTACATGTTCTGTGTCTTAAGGATAAAATGTATATATCTGTGTGTCTGCTGTTACACAGATAAAGCGCCTCTTATACTTTACTCCAAGCTCCCTCCTGATGACCGAGCTCCTTACCCTATCTCTAAGGCTGAGCCCGGCCACCCTACGGAGGAAGCTCATTTCGGCCGCTTGTAGCTGCGACCTTGTCCTTTCGGTCACGACCCAGAGTTCGTGACCATAGGTGAGGGTAGGAACGTAGACTGAGTGGTAAATTGAGAGCTTTGCCTTCCGGCTCAGCTCCCTCTTCACCAAGACGGTCCGGTGCAGCGCCTGCTTTACTGCTGCAGCCGCACCGATCCGCCTGTTGATCTCCCGCTCCATCTTACCCTCACTCGTGAACAAGACCCCGAGATACTTGAACTCCTTCGCTTGAGGTAGGCACTCTGTCCCCACCTGGAGGGAGCAATCCACCGGTTTCTGGCAGAGAACCATGGCCTCAGATTTGGAGGTGCTAACTCTCATCCCCGCCACTTCACACTCGGCTGCAAACCGGCCCAGTGAATGCTGGAGGTCATGATCCGAGGAGGCTAACAGGACCACATCATCTACAAACAGCAGAGAGGCGATCCCGAGACCCCCGAACCTGACGTTCTCCGCCCCCAGGCTGCGCCTAGATATCCTGTCCATGAAAATCACGAACAGGACCGGTGACAAAGGGCAGCCCTGGCGGAGGCCAACAACCACCGGGAACGTGTCTGACTTGTTGCCGAGAATGCGGACACAGCTCCTACTTCAGTCGTACAGAGACTGGATCGCCCGTTGTAACGGGTCCGGCACCCCATACTCCCGCAGCACCCCCCACAAGAACCCACGAG